CATACATGCTGCTACGCTGCTGAGATCTCTGGTATCGTTTACTACGTTACATGTTGCTACACTGCTGAAATCTCTGGGATCGTTTACTACGTTACATACATGTTGCTACGCTGCTGAGATCTCTGAGATCTCTGAGAGCTTGGCAATGGAGATGCATTCACAAGAATGCTGACTGCCAGCTGTTTACTACGCATGCGTTGCAGTGATAACGCTGGTAAACTAAAAAACGCGCCCCAAATTTTTCCAGGATTTCCAATCATCAAATTAGCACGGCATTGTGGTAAAATCACCATTTTTTTTAAAATGTGTGTTTTATGGGAACGGTTTCCGGTCCGGCGTGTTGTTTGTGTTGTTTGTGTTGTTTGTGTTGTTTGTGTTGTTTGTGTTGTTTGTGTTGTTTGTGTTGTTGATGTTGTTGATGTTGTTGATGTTGTTGATGTTGTTCGCGTTGGTAGTGGTGTTGTTGTTGTTGGTGGTGGTGGTGCCGGGTGGTGTTTGTGTTATTGACGTTATTTTTGTTCCTATCATTCCTATTATTCTTGTTCTTCTTCTTCTTCTTCTTTATTGTTCTTGTTTTTGCTCTTGTTCTTGTTCTTGTTCTTCTAATTGTTGTTATTCTTGTAATTATTTTTCTTCTGGTAAGTGTTGTTCTTCTTGTTGCTCTTGTTGTTTTTGTTGTTCTTATTGTTCTTGTTGTTCTTGATGTTTTTATTGTTCTTGTTGTGCTTATTGTTCTTCTTGTTCTTGTTGTTCTTATTGTTCTTGTTCTGGTTATTGTTGCTAGTGTTGCTGGTGTTGGTATTGTTGCTGCCGTTGCTGTTGTTGCTGTTATTGCTGCTGTTGCTGTTGTTGCTTGTAGAATATTGTTCAAATTATTGTTATAATTTATTGATTCTTCTATTTTAATTCTCTTCTTCTTGCCACCCTCTCTGCCCTGATATGTTCGCCTTGCTACCGGCTAGAGTCGGCGCGGTTTGATGTTAGGATTGCGATTATGATTTGGAAAATGATATATAATAAATTTAGATATTATTAGATATTATTTCATCACATTTAATTTTTAAATAAGTTATTTGAACATTAAAAAATACTAACCACAAAGTATATAATATTGATAAAAAGAAGAAGTAAACATAATGATAGTAGAATTATATCTTTAGCTTTTGGGTTATTTATGTATTGGGATATATAATTCTAGATTCTAGTATGTATGTTATGAATCTAAATTATTTGAATATTTTTTTCAGCTGAAATCATTTTTAATGAATATCAGCAACGCTATGACGCAAGTTGCGTCACGTTCGGGTTCTGCAGTCTCGGAAGCTTTTGACATATTTTGAAAAAATAGGTCTCACCGCCTGATTGACAAAATCAATGACTTCAAGCCTGCAGCACACTACCTCTGGCCGCCATGGCTTTTCTCCATGTCCATGGTCAATTTCTTGGCGTCGCAGAAAAACTAATTCTACACATCTGAGGGCAATGGCCCATTCGTCGCATATTGCGATGCAAGGTCATGCCAAGATTTCATTAACATCTCGTTGAAATGATTTCACATGTTGCCGGAGCCTCTCATTCTCCTGTCACACCCACCCTGTTCCACTGTAGTTTTCACTCATGTGGTTGGGAAACTCCCTGTAGCTCGTGCTGCCCCGGTTTTCAAACCGGCGCCGTTCACCGCTAACCATCCCACTCGTCCTGCTCCAGAAGCTCCAGATCCTTCACATTCAATGCCAGTTTATCCTGTCATTCAATGCCAGTGACTGTAGACCCAAAAAACCACTGGTGATAATTCTCCCGGACCGTTTGGGAAGTCCCATCAAATGGGAGCCATTTCTTCATTTTCTGTGACGCAAGTTGCACTCTGCCTGCAAAGTTTTCTTCTCGACTTGAAGTTCCCTCAATTCCTCAGGAGATCAGCATCAAAACCGCCAAATGGCAAGATTCAATGTGGTTTCTGGTTTAGGGCTTACCACACCTTCAAAATGTAACCTGTGACGTCAGTGAAACTTCCCAAACTTGGCCTTTCTAAGCTGTTGCTCTTCAGCTGCACTCTTCTCCTTGAAGGGGAGGTCTGGCAGCTCTGGTCGCATATCTCAGGGAAAAACAATATGTTGGATCCCGCCTGTGACACCACAGATTCACGGACTTCTGAAGTGCTCTGGTCATTCAACTGGTTCAATGAGACCGTTTTCGCCGCAAGTTCCTTCTGAGAAAACTCCTGGAAGCCGGCACTCCGTGAAAGTGAGGGAAAACAAACAAAACAAAAACGACCACATGGGTGACAATGGACGTGGGTCAAAACCCTGTTCAACCAAAAAATAACTAGTGTCCATAGAGGCTCATCCCGATGATTTGATAAATAGGTGTTGAGCCAATCCCACAAGCCGCACAACCCACATTTGCATAGTTGGAACCTTCTCGCTGATGACCCGTTGCAATGCTTCTTCAGCTTGACGGATCTCCTTGATGTACCTGACTCTCTTCCCGCACGAATGTTGCAAATCTTGCACTGAAGCCGCTCAATGGACAAACACCCCACCGCTGGGATCCGCTGGGATCCGCTGGGCCTCTGTTCTCTTTCCAGAAATCCAGTGGTGGACAGTTTTTCCCTCTCTTCACCATCAACCTAGGAGAGCTACTTTCACCGTCGGAGTGACATGCCTACGCCAACCCCTTGGCGCAGTTGTGTTCTAGTTGTGTTCTAGTTGCATCTGCGTGGCTCTTCCTTGTTTGTGCTTGGAGGTCTCTAGCAGGAGTTTGTCCTTAGATCGGAATTGAAAACAAATGCGGTAAATGAGGTTTAACAAACTGAACATGTGAAGAATCAACTTGAAATGAAGATGATTCAACACCATTTGAAGTACATCAGAATTCACCAACATTCATCCAGATCAAATAGAGCCGGGCATCGATGTGTTCAGCTATTTGTTGATAGAAGAGCTTGTCCTCTGGTAGTACCTTGTCAACTAAGACCGCTTGCGCATGGGATGTTACTAAAAAGCTAGGTGTCAAAAGGACCGAACGTTCCACCCAAGCCATAGTATCAAACATTTCCAGCCCCGTAGTGTCAGTCTTTGCCAAGGTTTCTCAAGCCCCACTGGCCTGTTCCCTCTCTTTCATCATCAGACGCAGCATCAAAGTGCTGCTGTCCTTTGGTGTCCAATTCGCTTTGGCTTGTGGGCCCTGTCAGTTCATTCATGATGTCAACTGCTAGATGAATGCAGGTTGTTGAAAACCTACGCTTCCAAAGTACTGCAGGGTGCCTTTTTCAATGGCTGCTCCTCAGCTGGTGGAGCCTCCTGCAGATTTAAACATCAAAGACATTGAAAGATCTCAGGATGATGTAGACCAAACAAGTAAACAAAAGTAAAGAGACTCAACATGACTTGTCATCTTAATCACTGCTACTCTAGCATCCGCCATGCCTCCTCTGTTTCTGCTGCTGGCGCTTGATTGCCTCTCCCCGGTGCAGACACGGCTTTGCCAAGGGCTGCTGTCTTTGGATCAGCTGCAGCCATCTGGGCTCCAGTGGAGTTTGGGCTTGCTTTGTACCTGATTTCTGTCAGAAATTCCCAGTCATTATGGCGGCATATGATGTTTCCATATGGGTTTGTCTGGAAACACGGTGTTCTAAAATTCGGAGCTGAATTATAGAATCTGCTAATCCCCCCATTTTCAGGTACACCCATATATGCACAATAAATAGACTGAAGTCTCAACTGCTCCGCGGCACGCTGCAGATGCTTTATTTCTTCTCAGTAGAAAGGCCACTTCGTGCATGGTTTCCTCGCCCACCTGCCGCGCACATCGATTTGGATATGGGTGGGTCATGGCCATGGCAGATCAAACGACTTCCAGCTGACCTTTGATCCACTGAGCTGGCAATCCAGAACGGTGCTATTGTGCTTTAGGCCTCAGTACCCGGAATTGGGTCCCAATTCCAATGGCATGGCATCATCTTTCAGCCTTTCCCCATTAAGAAAAATTTGACCTGACTATAAAATGTGGATACATGTGGTATAATTTACGGTATAATCATGTATAATCATGTATAATACATATATTACTGATCTTTCAAAGTCGCCTCCAATAAGGATTCTGATCTAGTGGCCCAGAAGCGCGCCTTCTAGCAAAGCTAGACCGCCATCAGCGCCCAGGTCGTTCCAGGACAGATCCAGGTGAGTGATCTTGGCAGGTTCACCATCGGTGGATCAATGCCACATGGCTCACTTGTGAAACAGAGATATTACGTAGGTAGAATATTGGGGGCAAGAGTGGTACGTCAAAATAGCTAGGGTTGCGATAGGTTTGGGCATGGTAAAAATGTGTTTAACTGTTTAACTGTTTAACCATCAAAAATGGATGTTTGAGCCAATCTATGGGGGCCGATGTATAATGTAGGGATATATACATGAGTGTAATAACTCAATATGTGGAGATACGAGTTAATAGGACAATCGATAGGTACTACAAAGGGGTGTTTGAAATCCCATTTAACGATGTGTCGTCCACCAGCTTTTGCCACACCCTGATATTCTGGCATCAATAATGAATCATTTGGGCCCTGGCAGTCGTATTTGCTGTGAGCATTTCGCCCAAATATTTGGCACCGACGTTGTTGATGCGGTTGTTTCGCAGGTCTACATGGCCAATCGTCAGATTGGACCTCAAGCCGCGTCAGCCGCGATTTTCCAGTCGCTATGGCATCAGCACTTATCCGGTTTTATGAACTGCGTAAAACGGTCCAAATTGGGTACCCAAAGCATATGAAAAAACATGCAAAAAAAAAATACGTCTAATGAATATGACCCAGATTGGTGGATTGGAATGATTGGAGGATCTTCAACTTCACCCATACCCTACAGGGCCTACAGCCAACATTAGTTCACTGAACATCACTGAACTGTCGGCTGTAAAGATGGCGCACTTCAAAACATCGCAGAGAGCTTGCATGCCACTCGGATCTTTGCCGATTGCATTCCTGCACCACGCATCATACGCATCAGCGCACGGAAAACATCCAACAACTCAGCATTGCCCAAAATGCTCTGGCATGCTCTGGCATGCTCTGGCATGCTCTGGCATGCTCTGGCATTCCTTGAACTGTTGGGGACAACGGGAACAACCCATTACATCACTTATACAAATTAACAGTGGTAGAATTAGAATATATACCCGGATCGCTCCCCATCAACCACCACAAAGGAACTGAGAAATTGCCCAACTCTGAGGTCAGGTCCATTTCAAATTGAGGCTCCGCAAAGATCTGTTGATCTTAATCCCATTGGCAAGCGCCATGGCTCCTTTCGCCTGAAAAAAAACGTTGCTAAGCATCCACTGGAACGTGGCTTAAAATTCAACTGCCAAATGGTTTTGGATCAAATTTTTGGTGAATCCTTTGTTGTTGGCACCAAAAAAACTGGTAGTGCTCTGGTTTTCTCTAAACATGGTGTAGAATCGGTTCCGAATGGTTTTGACCCATCCCAAATGTCGTGGCCTGAATATTGTTCCCTCGAAGATCTAAATACCTCCGCAAAAAGTGTGGTCAAGTCTACGTACGTGAACAATGATGTCCCAATAGACAATTTAATTGAACTCGGACTGAACTCTCAACACAGAACTCTTCTCAAAGGAATGCGAACAGTTCAGTAGTCTCAGGGATTCAATCAAAAATCACAGCAAACTTTGCTGTCTGTTGCTGACAAACAGTTTCAACCTGGCATTTCCAGTCCCCGAATTTTCTGGGAATCAGACCGCCAAAATCTAAGCTGCGGACTTTACAAAGGGATTGTCACGGAGGAACTTGGACACCTCCGGCGAGTGTCACAATATTTCTCTCGGCGAGCAACAACACGCCTTGTTTTGACGTGGCCTCCACGATTCCTTCATCCGAGATGGATGCGTATGCCAAGCTCAATGTAGGAGACTGGCAACAAGCAGGGGAAAAACAATCAGATGTTGCAGGCCATGGCAAACAAACACAAACTGCACCTCTCTGTTGGCATCCAAATGATTCAACAAAGCAGGGATGTTGTTCATGACCTGAAGTGGTTCAAGCGCAAAACACATCTACGCTTAAGATGATCAAACTGTTCAAGTAACACGTAGTATATATGTATACAAATCATCGAAAAAGGCCAATGCAACCAGGCAACAACGGACACGTTTGCACACCCCGTGATTCTACTCGCACATTAGCCAAAATGTCAAATCGCAAAACAACAAATGGGTTGCAACCGTGGGGGGCGGTTTTTGATCTCAGAAAAAAACCTTCGTTTTGAAATAAAATTTTGAATCTTACAAATGAAAATGATGGCATGCCTGTATGATGTTCAGTCAAAATTGTGCAGGAGACGTTGACTTGGCAGGTGCCCATGCGGCATCACAAAATACAAAATTATCTTAGGCGCATGTCCGAAAATTCGTTTCTGCGAAGGCACGATCGAAAATGCGCTCACTTTTGTGCCTAAATGGGCCTCACAGATATCAGACTTCTCATGCTGTTCATGAGGTCATGAAAGTGACACAACAACGTCTCTCGTTTCGATTTGTGCGTGTCATCCTTGTCTATGCCATGCCCATGAGTAGGCTCCACATATTTTCACACTCCTCCTTGAATCTTTGATGCTTGCTCAAGGATTCACCTCTGTTTTCAACGCTTAAGCCCAAACTTTGTCTTTGAGCTTGCATCTCCAAAGAAAATTTCAAATTCATTGTAACAGGCTTTGCATATCTTGGATATAAACCAAAAACCTGTCAGCACGCTCATCAAGCCCTCTGTTGCGATGATACCTGTATAATCTTTGGAAAACACCTCTGATCCTTTGCATAACACTTTCTGAAAGACCCTCAGGGTTGTCACCTGCACTTGCATCCAAGAGTGTGCTGATGGCTTGTTGGATTTGATTTGCTTCATTGAAACGTTCTGCACCAAGAGCAATGTTCTGATCTGCACGCATGTGATCCAGCAAAGCGTTCATACCACTAGGGGATCCATGCTCCACAATTTCATCGTGAGTGCTGCTCTCTTCTTCAGCACCTTCAATATTACTGTTTTCACCACCTGCAGCATCATCAGGTGGATCTGTAGTCTGCGCACGTGTTCTCATATTCCACAAAACAAAGTTGCCACGCTCTTGTGTCAGCATGTGAGCCCTTTGTTCCCTTGTCAATGACTCACAACGTACGAAGCCACCATATTCCATCAATCCATAACGCACACAACTGATTTCCTCTTCCAGTGAACCCAGGGTCTCAGTTGTTTCTTCTTCAAAAACTGCCATGCGCGCAACCACTGCATCGTTTGACTCATTGGCTGCATCCAACCTGTCATTCAACATTGCAGCATAGTCATAATGATCTCCAAGCTGCACTTGTACTTGATAAATCTCTCTTTCCATGCCACTCATGAGATTTTCCAAACTGCTGCGCCATTGTTGCAAACGTTTCCATGCACGCCATGAAACCACACCAAGCACTGTCAACGCACAAGTGAAAAGAAACACCGTAGCAAAAATCCAGAATCCATTCCAGTTTGAAGTGCTCTCAGAGTCAGGACAAACATCTGGCTGTCCCATGGCACCCAATGGCTCAAGGCCCATCACCAGTGAAATTCTGTAGACTGCTTTTGCTATCTTTCTGATCTGCGCTGATCCACCAACTTTGGCTTGGTGTCTTGCTGACTCCTCCTCACCAACATCCTCAAATGAGGGGATGTACACAAGTCCAGTTTCATGCATGAGATAGAGGAGCCTGGTGCGTGTAAGGACCTTTGTTGCAATGTCTGACACATTCTCAGCAGTTGGCACCTGACGCAAATCTGTAGATCCATCTTGAGTACGTTCTTGGATCCACAAAATCTTCCCTGACAGATGTCTGATGCGGCCTGCTCCTTGTCGACATGCCAGTTGCCTCGCACTTGAACTGTCAGTGTATTGCACCTGTTTGACATCTTCACCCAGAAGAAACTCACAGCAAGCCCTTATGAAAATTGCGTCACTCATGCAGCTCACCATGGAATGCAATTCACTTTCACAGGATGACAGTGAGACAACTTTCTGGTTGCGGCTGCTACCGTAAATGAAGGACCCGTTCAAAAAGTGCATACCACAGCTTGTTGACCTTCTGTGGTTTCTATTTGAGCTCCAGTCAGCATCGCTGTAGCTCTCCAAGATCCAGTTGGTGTCACACCCTGCACTGAATTTGCCACTGCCAGGAAAAGGAATATGCAGTCTCACACCAATGTCACCCAATTGCTTCATGAACCCCACAAGCTTACGCAAATGACCCAAAGAAGCAATGGTTGGAGAAGACATCACTGAAGCTAATTCCTTGATTCCAAACATCAGGTCTGGGCGCTCTCTGCTGATGTAGAGGCAAAGTCCCACTATGGAACGGAAAGCACTTGCGTCCTGAGCACTCAGCTTTTCAGAATTGTCAGGCAACTGAATCGAGCTGTCACAAGGGATTTTCTGCTGCCTGACTGCACCAAAGTGTTGTTCAAACAACCTGATCACCTTTTCCACCGTTGTACCTGGAGATAAAATGAGACCATCTTCCACCTCAGTAATTCTCCTGCGCAAGAACTTGATTGAAGTGCCAGGTCCATCCAAACATTCATGTGACACTGAAAACTCATTGCCCATCTTTTCCAAGAAAACATTCCAGAAAGACTTGCGCCCTACAAACAAAATGTCGTCCACATGGATGAGAATAGCACCCTGATCAGTTCGAGCCATGCACGGTTGGACAGAGGAAAACTCAAACGACATACTTTTCTGCAAGAATGCTTTCAAGTGCATGAACCATTGTTTTGCTCCCAGTCTCTGGCCGGGCAAGTTCTTCTTGATGACATAGTTCTGGTTTTGCAACTGCACAAGTACCGGCTTGCTTTGTTCAACCTGTAAGAAAGCATCTTTGACATCCAAGCACCCCAAAACAACGTCATACTCCTCCTTGCTCTTCATGGCTTCTGCTTCCCTCTTCATCCAGAGGTACTTCAGAGGAAGTAGATTTGAGGTATGTGCCCCTGTTGCAGGGCTGAATGTGTCAAGCCGTTTTGTCGTTGCAAATTCTCTGGCCACGTATCTTGAACGGCGCATCCATCTCTTACGCATCACACCATTCTCACAGTAATCTTTGAGCCTCCAATCCCTCACAAATTTGGTTGTGAGGCGTCCAGTGATCTCACCATGGAACTCTGTTGCAGGGATGAGCACCTCCATCTTGCATAAGCGCTCGATCTCAATTTTATCAGCCAGATTGTCAATCCATCTTTCAGGAACTCCAGGCGCCTTGTCTACTGCAGCATCACTCCAAAGCTCCTCAGGAATGCCTTGGAGCTGGACTGTTTCTTCACCAGCCCAAACTTCATCTTCATCCTCCAACTCCTGTTCCACATCCAACTCAGATCCATAGTCATCAGCTGTGAAGTACTCCTTGTACTCGATCTGAACTGCAGAAAGGCGCTTCTCATACTCAAGTCTCATCTGATTGATCCTTTGCTTCTTGGCCTCTTCCACACGCTGTCTTTTAAGAGCAGGATCATCATCATGCTCTGTGTCCCTGGTTGTTGGTACACCTCTGGGACTATCCACCAACACGTACTCTCGAGGAGGCGTCACTGGAACCATGAGACCTGGGTCATCAACTTCAACTGCCCCTGCCTGTGAACCTGAAGCTGCACTTTGAGCTTGGACCTCCATAGGCAAACTTGACGATTGTTGTACTGGAACCACATCTTGTTGCTTCTGCTCTTCTGATCTGTTGCAACGCAAGCAGCAAAGGGTCATTGGCTGCCATGCCAACGTTTTCATCTTCCAGTTTCTTCTGTTTCTCAGCATGTTCAATCACATCTTCTGCATCTTTGTCATGGAGTTTGTTCTCTTCAATGGGGCCCAATGGAACTTCAAAGCTCACAGAACGAGGTACTGGCTTCTTCATTGTCGGCAGGATCCTTGCACCAAATCCTGACTTGAACTGCCAGCTGAAGCACCTGCAATGCACGTAGTATGCCAGGTGACCACGCCAAGTAGTGCTGATGCGACGGACTGACTTGGAAAGGACAATGGCTTCACCGTCAAAAAGCACATAGCTATTTTGCGTTTCAGCCTTTCCAAGAAAAATCATGCGCTTCCACTTGGCTGTAGCTTTGGTCAAGGGGACAATGTACCCATAAACTGGTTCCCCAAATTCACACAGCTCTCCAGTGAAAACACGTCCAAAAGCAAGTTCATGTGCCGTAGCACCACGTATCACTGAGAACCTTGAAATCAACCAAGCACTGTGACGCAAAGCCCAAGACCATATTGCAGATGAGGTCTGCAACTGAATGCCAATGCGGCCATGCAAATTGTGCATCAAACTGCATGCAAGAGCTCTGACACGTCCAATCGCATTTTCAGCTAAACTGTTTCCTTTGTCATATGCAATGGCTGAAGTCTCCCTGGTCTTGAGTCCCATGGCCTGTCGCGTTCTGATGAACAGGTTCTTGATCTGCAAAATGCTTGGCTCATTGTCACAATGGGCTATGATTTCTCCATGGCCCAACATCTGAACAAATTTCACCAGCTCTCTGTTTGCATGATCCAGCTGTGATTTGCGTTCCAAAGGAATGCACGCAAGGAAATTGGTGTGGCTGCAAACTGCTATCAAAGCAACCACTGACTGTGCTTCACCCTCTTGACCAGCTGTACCATCTGACTTGGTGTAGAAGAAATCAAATGAAATTGTAGGCACAGCACCTGCATGGGCCTCGCCTGTCCTCTCGTGGCGCGTTGGTCTGGCCCTATGTGCCAAGCAGCTTGGACACCAGCTAGCAAACGGTAGGTGTGTCAACCTGTGCTTCTGCTGTTCATATTCTGTTGGAACCTCTGCAGAAACTGGTGCCAATGCATCACGACCTTGTTGCCTTTGTGCCTCTCTTGCAGCTGCTGAAATCATCTCTAAATCCAGTTTCTTTGAGTGATCCAAAAGACGCTGAAAACATTTCTGTTTTGAACCAGAACTGGAAAGACTGTAGAAACAGCATCCTGCCCTCAATGCTGCAAGAGTACTTGTAGACCTGAGCAAGGTCCCATTCACGTTGACTTCATCCTCAGGGCTTGGACGTACGATGACCTGTCCTTCAGGTATTTCCTGGCCTTCAACCTCCAGGCTGTCATCAGGAATGTCTGCATCT